GAGCGTGCACACACCCCTAATGACTAAGCATCGCGTTGATACAAGTGACGAAGCATAATATTAGAAGTAGTCCCTGGACGCACAATTGCATATATAGTACTAATAATAAAGCTGTAAAATTAAGCACGTTAACTAATTTCTTACAGAGCATTGCAGAGAAGCTTAACAGCAGATAGATCTTAACTACGTACGATCTATCTTGTCTATAGGTAGGCATTAAATAACGCAATGCCTCTAGTTAACTCTTTAACATAGTAGGTGTATAAAAGCATTAACACAACCTTAAAAGAGTAGGTAATAATCTAGATATTGCTTAGGTTAGCACTGCACAGCTAAAGAGATCCCTAACCCTGTCCCTAACAAGCTCTTGCTATAGCTTCTTATATTTGTTTACAAATAGAGCCTTAGCCTATACAGTGCCTGCATTAAATAGACAGAACCCTAACTATAGCGTACTTAGAGCCCTAACTATATTCTAAATAAAACTCTAACCCTAACTCTATTAAGGAGCTCTTATAGTAGTCTCTTATATTTAATTAAATACTTATTTAGCTTTAATTGCAGGTTTGCAAATATTAAAAGGCCTATGTAGCGCATGCATTAAATAGACAGAACCCTAACTATAGCTTAAAGAGAACCTTAACCCTAACCCTAGCCCTATTAATGTTCTCTTACTATAACGTCTTCTATTTAGTTATATAATTATTTAGCCTTAATTGTGTGTTTGCAGATATTAGAGAGCCTGTGTAGCGCGTGCACGAAACAGTAAACGCTGCTAAAGGCAGCGCTATAGAGCAAAGCAGAGTATGCACCTACCCCTATTAACTAAGCATTAAGTACATACTATAACCTGTTAGCTACAAGCAGACGCTTAAGTAGGGCTCCTTAAAGCTAATATCTAGTAGGATTATTTGTAGAAATTATAGAGCTCTCTTAAGAAACTAAGGCTACTTCTTTACTGTGTTCTCTGTCTATTTCTTTAGAATTAACTCTATCTAAAGTGCTCTAACTTAACAAAGTATAGTATAAAGGACTAAGCATTATGTAGATATAAATAACTAAGTAGGTGCAGATATTAGATTAGCGCAGTCTAAAGGTCTACTTAACCTCTATAATTGCAACATAGTAGAATTACCTAAGAGCTTATATTTAGACTTAAGCAACCTTGCTACTAAATAATAGCCTGTGTAGCGCTTGCACTAAATATTAAATACTACTAAAGGCAGTGCTATAGAGTAAAGTAGAGCGTGCCTACACCCCTAGTAACTAAGTATTGCATTAGCTTTAATAATAAAGAATAGTGCTAAGTATTATATCCTAGACCTACTAGAGTACTGCTAGCAACAGGTAACGCTAATAGAGGACTAGTACGTAAAAGGACTACTTCTCTTATTAGACTACTAACTGCCTTTTAGCAAGTATAAAGGCAAACGTCTAGATAAGGTGCCTAACGTGTACTTTACAAAATACCCAATTCTCTAATAATGTAAACTACTATATACAGAACAGTATGTTAGGGACTATATTATTATTGCAGCGCTTAATAAGCACTTAAAGAAGAATCTAGATTCTATAAACTAAGCTAGCCCTAGAAAATTAATAGTGCGCAAGGGTAGTATTGCAGCAAAGCTAAGGTAAAAGAGAGTACTACATGTGCTAGGATAGTAATAAGTTCAGAACTAAGCTAAATACAAGCTAACGACTCTGCTTTAATAGTAGGTTGGTATAGCGGCTTAATTTAAGCGCTAGGTAATAATAGCAACTATCTGCTTCCTCTATTCTTGCCTTTCTATGTAGTAGTATAGGTTGTATGTATAAGCTCTATTACCTTAGTTACGTTATATACGTACGCTATTTGTTAATGTTCTAGCTAGAAATTGTTTATTGCTAATTATAAGTCTTTAGTGTAGCAGAGATTATAGTCCTAGGCTATTGTAATAAGTATTCTTAATAGGGCCTTTGTGTAGTCTTAGGCTTGTTTCCTGCATTTAATATAGCGTTGCTAGTGTAATAGGACCTATTACTGCATATTTAGAGAGGTGTGTAGTCTGCAACAAACTACATGTTATGTATTTAAACGTTTGTGCTACTACACGCTATTTATATAATTACAGTTTGTGTCTAAATTTTATTCTATCTCTTATTAACTGTGACCTAACTTCTACCCTTGTGCTTAATAGCTAGTCTTAGGTAATTAAATACTCTTTAATATAATAGCCTGTATAGAACTTTAACCCTAATACAGCTTTTAACAGGTGCTCTTTAAGTTAATAGCCTGCGCAGTACTTGCACTAGATAGATAGAACCCTAACTATAGCGTAAATAGAACCCTAACTATAGCGTTAATAGAACCCTAACTATGTTGTAAATAGAACCCTAACTATGTTGTAAATGGAACCCTAACTATAGCGTAACTAGAAACCTACCCTAATTATAAAGTTATCTAGCGATGAAGTGTTATGCTAATTATAACATACTAAATAGTAAACGCTGCTAAAGGCAGCGCTACAGAGCAAAGCGGAGCGTACACACACCCCTACTATAAAGCATTGCGTTAGCTTTAACAATTAGGCATTATCTAACGACGAACGACGAAGCGTTGCTTTAATAATGAAGCATCATGCTAGTTGTAACGCACCAAACGGTAAACGCTGCCGAAGGCAGCGCCGCGGAGCGAAGCGGAGCGTGCACACACCCCTACCATGAAGCATTGCGTACATATGAAGGACTAGGCATTGTGTGCCTATGAAGGACTGAGCATTGCGTCCGCTTTCTGATTAATATTCATCTACCTGCACAGACTAATCTGTTGATCAGACTTCCTAATTGAACGCCCCGCTCAACACACTCACTTCTCTATCAACCCACTGCTTCAACCCAGTATACCTCCATTTTTTATACCACGCTTTCGGCGTCCCCGCAGGACAGTCCAAAATATCCTCCCCATCCCCATTGCACGTCGCATAAACCCCGATTAACGTCCCCACAAAGCTTCCTGTATCCCCGCTGACTTGACTAGTGGCTGCCGTTCCCAGCTCCAGCGTCTCTGAGCCGCCCGCCGCTAGCGTCGCCGAAAACAAGTATTTATCTGGTGTGCACATCTCAATCATGAGGCGAACCGACTGCCCCTTCCACGCCTCCGGCACAGGTGTGTATTTGTTCCTTGCCTCGGTAGAGTTGAAGCGGAACACCGTCGACCCATTCACCTGAGTCACGCCAAGCTGCACGTTCGCGTACTGCGTGAGGAATGCGGTAATGCCGGCTTCCTGGCGGTCCCGGATCGGGGCGAAATCCAGATCCACACTGAATTGAAACGTACTATCAGTCTGCCTGCGTCCAACAAAGCTGATGGCCTTGCTGGCTGGCGTTGTGTTGTTGAAGTCGTTTCCGAGGTTGTTCTTACTCGGCACCAATTGCAGCCCATTCTCCGTCACACTAATCATACCCGGACGAGGCACCCGCCAGTATACCAGGTTGGACGGAATCTGACTCCCACCCGGGAAGTCATAGACATCTGGGTCATTATTGAACGGACCGCCACCAGGGACATCGCGGGACGGGGTAGGGAGTTCCCAGCCAGACATTTCACCTCTCACGGGCTCCATGATAGGCCATTCACCTTTCCCCCACGTCACAGGAAACAGTACTGTTTCCCTCCCCATCGGGAAATACGAGCTGTTAGGAGGCCCCCACCGCGTGGCCAGAGCAGTCCCCCACCACTTCCCATTCCCATCTTGAAACAAATCTGCATGGCCGACAGTTTGGAAGTACTGATCAGTGCCGCGGTTTGTGAGGTGAGGATTGTGCGGGCTGGGCGTGTAGGGGCCTGTGATGTTCCTCGCGCGGGCCATGGTCACGGCGTGGTCTTCCGCTGTACCACCCTCTGCGATGAGCAGGTAGTACCATCCGTCTTTTTTGTAGATGTGAGGGCCCTCCGGCCAGACACCCCCAGTGCCATTCCAGAGATTGATGACGGGCCCCATCACCCCACTGTCGATGTTGATTTCTTGGATTCGAATTCCCTGCGTCGCGACGTAGACCTTGCCGTCGTCATCCCAGAACAGATCGGGGTCGATTTTTGGAGCTTGGAAAAGGACGGGGTCACTCCAGCTCGCCTCGTCAAACGGATTGGTCGTTTTGAACAGCACACCATTCGTACGGTTGGTGGTGGTGCCCAGGTACTCGCAGATGACGTAGAATGTGCCTTGATGATGTCGAATGGTAGCTGCGTACATGCCCTGCTGCTGGGCGTCGGTCGCATAGCTGTAGCCTGGAAGTTGGGATTCGCGATTCCAGACATGGCTGATGAGTTTGTAGTTTACGAGATCCCTCGATGCGTAGATGGGCAGACCGGGAAAAGAGATGAATGTTGATGTCACGCAGAAGAATGTTCCGTTAACGGGCGTGCATGATGGGTCGGAATGCCAGCCGGGCAGAACGGGGTTGTAGTAGGTTGAGTTCTTTGCCCAAGCTGTCGCCGAGAAGGCAATCAGCGTTTGAATGAGAGTGGTAAACCTCATGCTGCGCGGTGGTCTCCGCCATGAAATTGGTACTTGGCATATTTATATGCGGGTGTCATTGCTTCGGCATAGATTCCGAGCAGGCCAACACTCATTTCAAAGCTCTACCTCAATAAACGTCATGCCGTCCAACCCCGCGTGAGCCTTGCCCTGTTCGGATTAGTGGGCGGGATTGGATCTGGGGAATCAGCCACTTTAAACGGTATTTAGCCAGAACCCTAACCCTCATATTCTGTAGACATGGGCGAGCTGCAGTGGGTGGAGTATGCCCATGTAAGCTTACAGTCTGCAAAGTGTGCAGACCTTCCAGCTGTATCTTGTCGTGTCATCACAAAAATGAACAGCCATCGAAGCGCTATAAAATCAGCTTTGATTTATAGATTAGAGACTCTGCTTTCAGGCCTCTCCTTTATCGGACTTTGCGACCAAAAATCTTCGATTGAAGCTCGTATCGTGGATGTCTGCTTCCAGCAAAAATTATGCTCCCTGCCAGATTCGAACTGGCGGCCTTCGGATTTCCTGCTCTGGGAGCAAGTCATACTCGACGAGATATGAGACCGACGTGATAACCGACTACACCAAGGAAGCTGATGATTTGATGTGTACCGCCAGAATTGGTGGTTTCTCATCGTCGTGCAAATCTTTCTTTCTCTCCAGACAGCTTTCCATCTCGAAATTGCATCTTTCCATTCCGCACTACAATTTTGCTGTTTCTTCTGCTGGAAAATCCAAGACGCACTTGGCCTAGTGACTGGCATTTCTGACGAATCTGGTCGTGCTCGAACACACGTCGGAGATTGTTCTACGTACGCTAAAGGTCAGTATTCTGATGGCTACTAACGATGGACTGTCTCTGTTGAACAGCATCGATCAGGACATCAGCTTACCCCAGTGCATCCTCGGTTATGCAATGTTATCGCCAAAATCATACGCCATGACATTGTACCCGAAGGCTTGATCACCATCGACACTATCCACACTGATGTTCCTCATCTCCTTGAACCCCTTCTTGAAGTAAAATCCCTCTGCAGCGGGCTGCGCAATCAATGTGACATTCACACCCTCAGATCTCCCTTTCTCGATCCCCCTTTGAACCAGCCGAGTGCCTGCGCCTTTCAACTGATAGTCCGGATGCGTGGCAAGCTCCTGTAAGTACATTTGTGAGTCACCGAAGACTTCAAAGACATGCTTTCTCTCTGCTGCATCGAACTGTCGTACGTAATCTAGCGCACGAGTGACATTCATACTTTGATAACAGCCCACTGCTACACATCAGCATTGATACGAGAACCCCTCGGAATACTCACACGGAGCTTCGAAGTTCAGAAAAGACAACATAGAAGGGAGACTGTACTGCTCCCACGAAGCCATTGCTATCAGCGGTATATTTCCCGGCGCCTCAATCACGTCTGTTTTCCCGTCCGGACTGGTGAGCATTTGCATCACACCGTATCGCACGCATTCTCGGTGTCCTTCGGGGAATTGATGTCGGAATTGTCGAACATACTGCCAATCGGGGTACGGTTCGAAGGCGGCTATGATAATGGTTGCTATGTTGTCCGCATCTTCGAGCGTTGCTTTGCGAATCCGTGGTTCTGTTGTGAGGACATGTTGAAGGCCTTGGCTCGGGAAGATACGTGAAAGTAGAAGTGGTACAAACAACAGCCTGAATGAAAGGGAAGACATCTTGTAGCCTTGAATCGTCATGTCGGACCCTTATGATATTCTTATCAGGATCATGTAAGCGTATGACGTAGGTGCGGGCCAGCTTACTAGGCTGATATGTAGATGGAACTCCACCGACGGCCTGGTGGAACATTATCTTCCTCGAATTATTGGCCCAGCTTTCGAGGATGATTTTCCGAAAGTCTCGTCTAGAATCAGTAGATGAGGCTATGACTAGCGCCTGCAAGCGACTATACATGTTATTGGCGAAGAATGCTCTTCATCAGGGTGGCATGCAATTCATCATGTGCAGTCCGATCTCATACGTTTGCACCTTGAATATGGCACTAGTTACTAAGCACTGCGTTGGCTCCGTTACAATTGACTTGTGAGTCACCGAAGACTTCAAAAGGTAGTCCAGCGTACGAGTGACATGTAGACTTTGATAACAGCCCTAGACAACAGCCCGCGCAGCGCTTGCACCAAATGGTAAACGCTGCCGAAGGCAGCGCCGCGGAGCGAAGCGGAGCGTGCCCACACCCCAGTGACTGAGCATTGCGTTGGCTACGACTATGAAGCATCGCGTTGGCTTTAACAATGAAGCATTGGGTATAGCGCCCTGAACTTACCTCAAGACACTCACTCGGAGCATCAGTCTTCAGAACAGACAACATAGAAGGGAGACTGTACCGCAACCGCGCAACCACTGCCATCAGCAGTGTATAACTTGGACGACGGTCAAAAGTGAGAGCGAATCCGCGGGTAGTAATAGTACATTGGACCTGGATACACTGTATCGCCGAGCTGTCATACATTGCTGTAATTCAAGTCCCACCGCTTGGAGGTGGGTGGGGGGTGGTGGGCGGGCCTGGGATGTACAGCCGGAGTGACGAAGCATTGAGTCGGCCTTCGAACGATATATCGAATCCCTACCAAGTGATTTGACGGCGGCAGACAATTGTATTCTGATGAAGACGCACAGTTCAACGTCAGCGATTCGAGATTACGAGAGTTGCGTTGCGGATCCGTGATTCTGCCGTGAGGACGTGTTGGAGGCCTTGGACGAGACTTGAGAAGATATGTAAGAAATGGAACCCTGAACATATGTCGCGCTGGCAGATAGAGCCCGCGCAGCGCCTGCACCAAATAGATAGTACCCTAACCATAGCGCAAACAGAACCCTAACCATATCGTAAACAGAACCCTAACCATGCCGTACTCAGAACCCTGACCCTGACGCGGCTTTCAACAAGCGTTGCTGTATCTTCAATGCTTTCACTGTTCGCATTTCGTGACTAGATTGCTTTCACTATACCCATAACCCCGCGTATAAGATCAGCAATGACCATTCCTGCTGTGTTTCATATCCTCCGCGATACACAACTCAACTGATCATGGCGGTACGTAGTGATCTCGCCCTGCGTCCAGCTTGGGCTACGGATTTACGAGAACGGACATTCATCAACATCGTCGACCCTCACATCCACGCCAACTTGCCACAACATCGTCCCACTGGCCTCTTCATCGGTAGAATGTACGGCTACGAGTTGGTCGCTGACTCCCGACACCCTCTCTCGACGCACACCACGATCGACCTTGTTGCCCGTCTCAGCGACGACAATCAGCTGTGGATTTTCCAATGGGCTGTGCGCGGTACTGTAGTCGACAGCGACTTGGCGCAGCATGATAATGACAAAGGAAAATCTCTCCCCTCATTCCAGCCGCATGCAAAGGTCAGTGGTACCTGGTTACCTGTCGAGACCTACAAACAATTTGAAGAGCTGCGAATCCGGGACGGAAAGCATTGGTACGCGCCAGAGCCAAAGTATGGCCGAGTTCCGAGCGGCCACAGATTCTTCCACGGACCTCAGAGAAACAGCGCAAATGGTAGAGACTTGGAGCCTCGTTGGTTGTGGAGGGTGAACGAGGTCGAGATCTATCGGGCTCTCGTGCAGTGTCGCGGCATGTTCGACAGGGTCCCTGAGTTGGACCAGCATGAAGCCCTCAGGTGGATGGATACCCTGGACTAACTCTATCACAACAAGAGTTACAATCCAGATGGACAACATTTGTCACGGATGTTGATTGCTTTGGATCTATCTCGAGGCTTGCTGATCATTAGTGAGATGTAAGACAGAAGTTCTCACAAGGAGTATCATGAACAAGAGACACGACTGGAACATCATGTGTACCTTTCAGTAAACTACATAGTTATGATAGAGAGAAATGGATAAGTTGCAATTTCGAAACTTCGTGTCAAAGCAATAAACATTGGAATATCCTTGCATTACTACTTGTATGTCTGTTCAGACTAGTCCATGCAATGCCACTTCGAAGGGTCTGCCGATAGTACCACGCAGCGTTGATATAATTGCCGCAGCTGATCAGCTAAGAAGACGCACGGCTATACCCAGAGATGCCAGGATAAATACATTGTATGACGCCATAATTGGCCTGTTGCTTCCTGAAATATGACTGACCTTCCGAGACCTATTGCTGCCTTCGCCATCCTCGCCTCTCACCAGAAACTACGGAAGCCTCACCGATGGTGGTCAAGTTTCCTGCAGGTCTGAGAATGACCTTATTCTGCGCAGCTTAGTTGGGTTGTCCGCCCTTGCACGTCTCGACCTGACTTTCTGTGGGCTCATTGGACATGCCTACTACTCTTGATGCAGAAGAGACGCTCAGATCCGCAGCTTCCGCCGAATACACGCCTGGAGATTTGAGAGCATCGGCAGCGCAGGACTCCGTGGGAGAAGAGAGTTCGGCGGGTTCGGACGTAGTAGAGACTGGCTGAGGAGTAGAGATGCGCGTCTTGAGCGATGCATAATTAGACAGCGAAAGAGTCAACACCGGCAACTTCCGAGTGACCCCGTTCTGGGTCTCATCTTGGAGAACGGTGTTGTACTGGACGTTGATCTGGCTGTGAGGAATATGGATTGTGCTGACAGAGGTCATTCGAGACAGGTGGGCAGAGTGGCGACGGTTCGACATTGTGATACTTGGAAAGCTGAGGTTCTGTAGGGGCAAAGGTAGAAGAACCTGGATCGGCATGGAAGAAGTGATTCGATTTCGGCTCCACGATAAGGAGCGCAGGTGAAAGCGCTTGTCGATCGCGAGCACAGGGAATTTCACTTCCTCGCTATTGTTTCGCTGAGGGGAATTAGTTGGTACGTCGGGCACATGTCGAGTAAGTGTGTGACCAATTGCGTTGCAAGATCGAAGACTTGAGAGCGGCGGTTATTGATGGCCCTGTCAAAGTGGGAGACCAACGTTACGAGACAATTAGTGGGCGTGCTTGGTGAAGTATGGCTACAGATCCATGTATTCGACATTCACCACATCGATATTAGTTATAGAAACACTTGCCTCGCCATGTGCGGGAGAAGTACCATGGTGATTGATGTAGTCGATGAAGGGATGTAGCAAAAGCCGAAACACTACCAGCCTCCAGAACAGTCATCTTGACCTTCCCTAGTAATCAACAAATCCGACGTTGTCTTTGCAAGAACTTAACAAATGCTAACAAGCTTTTGATCTCCTTCATGGCTTTAAATCCCAAACAAACATGCGGATTCAAGTATTCGATGAGATGTCTCAGTCGCAGCGCGAGTAGTCTGATGCTGTGCCTGATTCCGCGTCTCACGTGAAGACTGGATTCATAATCAAATACGCCTAGATCTTTCAAGTCTTTGGTTGCAGTGACAATTCTCAGTCCGAGTTTATTCCGGAGTTTGCGCTCACTGAGGAAATGAGCTCTAGTCGGCTCACGCAGAATCCGGCTGATGCATGATACATCACGATCGGTCAAAGTGCGCATAGACTGGGGTGAACTGTGGCGCCTACTGTTTGGTGGATTGAGATCACCATAGGCATCGATATGACGGGTCTGCTTAGTTGAGTTGCGATGAGCTGTCTGCAAA